TAACGATTGGCCTGTTAGCCGTATAAGAGGCTTGAGCAGTTTCCGCCCAAGCCGAAGAGGACTCCACATCCATCTCGTGGGGACTCTGGATACACGGCAGGGTAACAGAAACCCTGTGTGAGATTCAGAGGAGCTTGGCTGCCTGATCCATCGCCCACCTGTTCCCGTCTTCGAGCGCAAATTTTATAAGACGTATCTCCGATTCCGATTTTGGTGGCGCGTTCACCCAGAGCATCCGGAGCTCTGTTCCGTGGAGCCTAGCAACCTCCACGAGACCGTCTGTGTTGTCTGTGTCTGTAACCGCAACTCAAGCAAGTTCTCCAACCTACACCACTGCCATCTCGGTGTAAGTAAACAATCTTTAAAACTACCGCTAAGCGTTTGTGCCTAATTCCAGCTCGTCGCCCTCCCTCTCTGATCCAGCGTGCCCGGGCTGCTGGCCACAGCCCGCGTGCAGCACGGAAAAGGGCTCGGGTCACTCCCGGCCCACACAGAGGGGTGCATTATAAGCAAGGAAACATAGTAAGAGTGGTTTCTGCTGTGGGAAAACAAAAGTAACTGCACACGATCCAAGATCTACAGGGAGAAAAAGCCATGAACAGGTTCAACTCCTTACCAGCTGCTACTTAGTTTCCTACTACAAGGACAAAATTATTCTCTCTCCCTCATTTTGCCTTTCAAAAACAGCACTTTTCCTGCAGCACTCTCCATACAAAAAAATACGGCAATTCAGAAAGGTAAAAGCTTCTATAAGCAACAGCTGACCTCATCAGCAGGGATCCAGGTTTTGCATTTCCCACAGCAAAACAGAGTAAACTGCGGATTTTACCCTTTACTACAGGCAAACGTAGATTTCTCATTTTACCAGAGAAACCCATGGATTTTGTAACAAGCTGTCTGCAGGCTGGCACAGTTCCAGCCTGCAGGGGGCTGGGGGAGCAAAAGGAGGGCAGCCATGCAGGGGGTGCCACATGCATGTACATGCACACGGCCCTAGGCAGCTGGAGAACAGCTGCCACAGGTAAGTGGGGTGGGGGGGAAGTTGAGGTCCCCATAGGGAGAATGGGAAGGAGGGAGTTGAGTTAGGGCAGGAGCTGGGGCTGCTGCCCAGCTGGGCAGTGCCTGGGGCGGGCAGGCAGGAGACACCTTGTCAGGACAGCACAGAGCTTGCGGTGGCAAGCAGCTTTCCTGTGTGGCTCCACTGTTCTTTACAGTGCCAGGTTGCACACACCAGGCTGCAGAGGCCCTGGGGGAGGGCCACAAGGCGGAAGCCCAACCCTGAAATGGGCAGTGTGCAGCCCCTGCCCTGCACACAGATGTGGAGGCACGGATCCCCTGCCCCCTGGGAGTGTGCACCACAGTGAGGAGCAGCCTCCCCACCCAGCCCAAGCCCACAGCCTTTTTTTTTTTTTTTAATTTAAATCAGAGAATGCCAGGATCCCTGCTCATCAGGTACTATGAGAAAGCATGTAACAAAATTAATGGATTCTTAAGAAAGCTTATGCCTGTCTGAATTAGTTTAAAAGGTACAAACCTATGCTGTCCTTCTGCCTGACTGGAGGCTAACACAGTTAACTACTAGTCAGGTACAGAGAAGTCATTGTTAATTAGCATCTTGCAAGTAGAAAGCAAATTCCTCATTCATTTGCTCTGTTTTTGGCAGGCAGTGTTGACTCTGGCTCTCATATTTGCCCTCTCCCACACAAGCAGACACAGATTCCAGATTAGGTTCCCTGTAGCCTAAATAAAGAGTTGAACTAGTCAGCATACTGTAATCGATAATGGAAACAGCATGGCTACATGCTCATTTTACAGCTCTGCAACAAAACTTGCAGCCTAAAAGCCTGAACTGCAAAATACCATGTACTTTGCTGCCATAGGAAGTAATTGGAAGTGTGAGGCATACAGGACCTTTGGGGGACACTTAGCAACTTGTAGGACAGGGCCTTATACCATTACCAACAGACTCCAGTCACCTCTACCAGCCACTGAGAACAGAAAAGATTTTTTTAGGCTAAAAGGAAGAGAAAACACAATTAGATCATTATGTTAAAAGACAGCAAGCTTGCTGTTGGCCATTTTTTATAAGCCTTGACAATCGTATGCCAACCATGATAATCTTATCATTCATGGCACGTGACTATTAAACAAAACACCATCCTGGCTGACCTAGCAAGGAGGGTCATGACCACCTAAGGCCATTTACCTGAATTTGCAAGTCCAAGGGCTCCCTAACCATGCCAGGTTGTTTCTCAGCATGTTGAATAAGAGGTAGTGCATGACAACTGTATTGTGGGGAAAGGGATCAGGAAAGGTTGACCTGATTACTGCCCTAACCTATTTTGGTCAAAAGCAGTGCATCTTATGATGTGACAAAGCGTTCAAGGACTGTCAAAGAATGATGGAAGACAGAAAAGTGACCTCAACCAAGTGTGTAGCATAAGCATGGGTATTCCATGAAAAACAGCACTACTTTTAGAGAAAGATTTTCCCCACAGTCTGCATGCTCCGTTTCCTCCATGCTTATGGTTGGCATCAACCATATTTGTTAGCCTTTTTCTAGGTCAGGCTAAGAACATTTCTCTCTAAAATACTTGTGCACATGGACTCACCGCTGACATAAAATTGCTTTGGTCTTCAGCCAGAATGCCAAACCAACATCCTTGGCAGAGCATTCTGAAGACAGACCCTCGCCCGTTTCTGACCCCATGCAGGAAACTCATTTAATCACATCATCAAGCAATAACATGATCTGCTACTTTAACCTGGCATCCAACCTACATCTAGGGATCATTTAACCAGCCTCTGAAATGCAGTCACCATACATATAATGGTCTAAGGTAACACTGCATACCTAAAGGCAGAAACAGGTTATTGTATTCTACAGCACAAGAAGAATTTAGGCAGAACAATTTGTCAGAATGAAATCAAAAGCAGAAGAACCAAAGTTTTTGCAAAGAGCTATGACTGCAATCAGCCAGAACTTCTGGTTCATCTCTCATCTGAGACACCAGCCTGGTGACACCTTCTATACAATGCTGGCATGAGAGAAAAGGGAAGCACCTGCTGAATGAACCCCACCACCAGCTCATATTAAGTAATTCTTGAAGGGAACCCATCCAAATACTGATTTAATCCAAAGCAACACGGCTGCAAACTCTTAAGTCCTC